TAGCATCTCAGATTGACTTGAATTTGACTCACAGGAAGGACAATGTCAAAGACATCCAGAATAGAAGAGTATCCGGGAGAATTTGGATTTCTCCCAGTGATATGTACGTTTTAGCAAGTTTCCTTCTGAATGTAGAGGCGATGCTCTTTTCTCCTATTAATCCTAAGCAGTTGTGATATGTCACAAGGCAACAAAATAGTTGGTGGCTTCTCTCTCTCCAGCAGTAATATGAATCTGAATTAAATGTGTGTTTCTAGTATCCAGATGAAGGAAAAGAAACCAGGGACACAGTCAGAATCTTTTTTTTTATGAGAGAGGGCTGCAGATCCTGCCTGTCTTAGAAATTATCCACGATGGCCAGGTTCCGTATTGCTTTAGAGTTAAGTATGTTTTATGGAGGAGTCTCGTGGTGGAATGGTTAATGGTTGGGCTGCAATCTGCATGGTCAGCAGTTCAAAACCAATAGCAGCTCTGAAGGAGAAAGACTGGACTTTCTAGTCCCATGAACAGTTACATTCTCTGAAACCCACAGGGGGGTCACTGTGAGTCTACATTGGCGCCATGACAATGAATCATTGTTTTGAGTTTATATTTTATGGTGTTCTCCCTCCCCTCAGTCACTGCCATTGAGTCAATGTCACCCGCTGCCATCAGATCAATATGGACTCAGAACGACCCGACAGGACAAGGTAGAACTGCCCTGTGGATTGCCAACTCTTTAGCACTTAAAAAATCAACGAGGCAGCAAACATCAATTAGTGATCAAATCTCACAGTCGAGATGTTGTGAATTTGCTATGCGTAAGGACAAAACCAACTGAAGTTTATGTAGGAAGGCACCCAATTTCGAAGCATTTGAGATCTAAATTTTAAGAAACCGAGAACAACATAAAAAGAACATGAGGAAGAAGCATAACAGGTCCAGAATACAGCGACTCTCTCTGTGCAGCAAGAATGGCACGTAGGCAGATGTTCAACTTCCCCCCTTTCAGTATACTGTACCTCTTTTGAAGCCTGTATTCAGCAACATTAAAGATGTTGCAACACATGACTATCGTTCATGCGTAGACTAAATCCCTTTCTGAAACTGGGCTAAATATGTGTAGTGTTAAAGGAAAACAGATGTGGTTGCAGAACTACAAGTGTGCAGGGCACAGAGTGGTGTCTCCATTGAATTAAAAAAAAAAGGGGGTGGGGCTGACACAGCATTGTCTAAGGCTCATACCGGGTAGAATGAAAACAAAGGGACAAGTTATTCTAGATCATCAGAAATGACATCACTGCCATCAAGACCATCCTAGAGAATGCTAATGGTGAGAAAGAGCCCGAGTGACCTATTTCCCCCTCTTCATGTTCATGAATTCCCCCTCCTTGTGTTCATGAAGCTCAAGGTCCAGTACGATGAAAACTATGAACTTACAAACTAAAACAGTGGTGGCTTGGATGGAGAGGGGACGTCGAATTAGAACGGAAGCAAAGGGGGACACTTGGAGGCAGGAAATAGGGAGAACTACCCCGACGTGAATGCCTGTGCTGAGGTCTGAAGGGACTCCTGATTCGATGACATTTGGTCACCCCTGAAAACAAGCCATGCCTTCCCTTGTTCTCCCCTGGGAAGAAACAGTGTCAAACAGCCCCTGTAGCATCCACCATAATGATCTGTATGGGAGAGTTCGAGATCCTGCCCGACTTAAAGATTTTCGGAGATGGCTGTGTAGGCATTTTGAGTGAAGCATATTTTACGGTGTTCTAGTGCTTCCAAAACCCAACAAGCAAGGAAACACCAAGGAGTGATCAGATCCCGTAATTTAGTTGCTGTGAATTTGCTAAGTAGGGACAAAATCAGCGGAATCCAGGAAGGTACGTGTTACTGAGTGCCTCATCATCCCCGTCACTTTAAAATGATGGAATGATTGAACAGTTGTCACGGTGTTGGGGCAGAACAAGTGGGGAGGAAGGGTCTCTTCTTGGCTCCCTCTTCCATTCAGAATCATTTCCCGCCATAATTGGAAAACCCATCAGAGGTCCTTCTGTTCATCACTGTATGCCTGGCAGGAAGCAGACCCTTTTTGGGTTTATAGAAAGCAGAAGTACTCAGGGAACGAAAGGGTAGTGAGCAAGGAAGTAAGAGCAGCAAGCAGGGTGCATGGGAAGAACCCAGACCCCCTGAATGAAGGGCACATCTGCCTGGTTCGCACACTGTTCATCTTGCACCACCTGCAGACAGATGGAGGCTGCTTGGGAGAGTCTCTCCTGAGCACACATGCAGGCTGGGCACACCTCTCTTCGTAAACATTTTATCGCATATAACAGAATCCACTTTTTTGATTTTTTTAAATTGCTCTGTCCTGTTTCATCACTTAGAAGACAGATGAACTGGGGGACGGAGGTGGGGAGTGGGGACGTGGGGAGAAAAACTTCAGCCCCAAGAAAACCTGATATTCTTCATATTTTCCCATCCTCCCCGCACCCAAAAAACCTTAGACTTCTGTCAAGTGTTCAAGCACATTGGTAAAGGGCAGTGAAATTAGCCAAGTTTTGATTAAGGATGTCTCAGCTTCTGGTCTCAGGAAAGTCAGCCCAGGCCCACAGGGCAAGATGGGTTTGAACACATGCCCGCTACCCCTCTGTGGATGGTGGGATGGTTTAGAAGGAGGTGGGTCAGCACTGATTTATACTTCGACAGCTAAGGATAATAAGATATGGGCAAACATAGAGCTCACCCTTTTACAGATTAACCTGGAGACTGCATTAGGCAAATGTGCTAGCATTAAAAGATTTCTCCAATCTGTCTGGAAACAATTTCTCTTCCGGATCGTGTCAAGGGTAACATTGCATGCCATTGTACTAATTTAAATGGCTTTGATGAATTATCCCAGAGGTTAGAGAATAGTAGGGCTGGTTATCTGGTGAGCACTTTAAAATAAGAGGGGCTATTAGCTGAATTGTTCAATGAATTTCATCTGTTAAAACTCAAAAAGCACACAAGTCTTGGCTTTCCTGGGGCCACGGCAGTCATATTACATCAAGAGGCTTTAAAGGTCTTCTCAGAAAATAAGATTAGGCTTCTGTATTAGTTTTCAATAAGTTTGAAATGCTTTTGGCTATTACAGGAGCATGAGCAGTTATGAGCAGTGCGGGGAGAGCCAAAGTTTATAAGAGCAATAATTTTGTTTGTTTGTTTTCTTCTCTGGGGCGTATCTTTGTTTTAGCATAAATATAGCATCATATATATTTTTATCCTCAGTGATACCATTTGCATGACGTACAGTTGGCCTTGTATACAGTTGTGTCCCCTCAAGAGATTCTTAAAACATGAGCTGTGTATTTCCTGAGGCACTCTCTGTGTACATCATTTCTGCATTTGAAGAGGCCCTCTGAAAGAGACAGGATCATATAAGCTCACCTTTATTCCGACTTTCTACTCCCATAAAGAGCTAGACTTGGAAACCCACAGGGACAGCTCTGCCCTGTCTTAAAGGGTCCCTAGGAGTCAGAATCAGCTCCATGGCCATGAGTTTCGCTTTTTGCTTCTAAAGTCTTGTGAAGGAGACCTCCCTTTCCCAGGCCTCTTTAAGCAGCTCCGCAAACATGAATGGGATCCAAGGACAGAGTTCACTTGTATTACGATCCCCTCGTCTGAGGCCGCATTGCCCCCCCTGTGCTTCATGGAGCTGACACCTCCACTTAGGAAACCATCCCGTTGCTATTTCAAGTGAACCATTAAAGTATTTTCTTTGCTGGGATGATAATGTCTCCAAGCATCAACCCGCTAGCTTTAAACAACAGCGGCTTGTTTGTCACGGCGAGGATATTGCACTCAGGAGTTTGTATTGAGCTCTTCATTTCCAGTGAGTAGTTTTCCTTGATGGAAACAGGAAAATTTAAATGACAAAATATGGAGACTAAGGGGAGTCTCTTTAACCAAGATGTAGCAGGCGTAGTGTTTTCCTCTTTGAATTTTAATAAATGAGTCCATCCATTTCTGGAGGCAGTGTTTTGTTTAAGGTGTTTGGATTAGGCAGAGGTGCGGCATTCCTTACAATGAACTAGTGATCCAGCTTTTAAAGTTTGGTGGGTTTTTGTTGTAGTTCCTGTTGTTTAGCCAGCCTTACTTTTATGCTTTCTTGATGTTTGAGTATTTTAGGTATCCGCTTAGATGCAGAACGTTTTTGTGGGAGTTTTTTTTGCCTTGGGTTGGAACAAACATCTCTGAGAGCATCAGCATTTTTTATGGCTTTCTAAACATATTTTAAAACGTATGTCTCCAGACTATCATTCCAGAAGTTCTTAACTAGAAAAAAAAAATGTGGGTGGTGGTGGTGGTGGTGGGATATTTTAAAATAAAGAGTCCCTGCGTGCATCGGTAAAGTGTGGCCCTTCCACCCTGGCAAAGCTTCATGGCGAACTCCTGCTTGCTTTCTAGGCGGCATTCCTGGTTGGGAAGAGCAGGGAGACGTTTAAAGCAGAGCTGCCGCTCCTCCCGGCTCTGGAGTTCTGGAAGGAGAGCTGCTTTTACAAGAAGCAAACCTGAACGTAGACTTGCTGGTGCTTGCCAAGGAGAGCTAAATTAACATGCAGCTGGGCTCCTCTGATAAATGGATTCTGTTAGGTCACCGAGGGGGTGCGTGTGACATTAAGTGATTTACAGTGCTTTACCTTAATGAAATTGTTTCGGCAAGATGACGCTGAAAGCTCTTAATGGATAGCTTTTCTTGATGTAATGAAATTGCATTCCTATGGCATTTAATATAAGGTGCAGTTAATATTTACTGGAGCTTTCCCAGGGCTGCTGTGTGCTCAGACAGTTCAGAACAAAAAGATTTCAGTGGCGGCATCGGGGCCAGGCTGCCTGGTGACATTCTGAAGCAGATGTGTGTTTGGGGGAGAGCGTGTCCCCGAGTGTGGCCAGGGTCCCCGAGCCCCTTCCGGGAACATCCTTGCACCCCGCCTTGTGCGTCTTCCTCCCTTTTACGCCTCTCCCTCTAATCTGTTTAACAGGCAACTGGATTACAACCAGATCAGCTGTATCGAGGATGGGGCGTTCCGGGCGCTCCGGGACTTGGAAGTACTGTAAGTAACTGCGTCTCTCTTGTACTCTGCACCGGAGCTTGCTTGTCTGGGCATGGCTAATTTGAAGCTTATCCGGCAGCTAGCAATCCTGCATCCAAATGTTCTCCAGAAGAGATCCCTTAAAGAACTCAGGTGCCTTCGAGGAAGAGAGAGAGTGAGCGTGCAGGCACCTTGCACGCTCTGAATCGAGGCTTAGGGAGAATTGTCTCTGCAGAAAAGACGTTCCGCGATCCACACGGATGATCTTGTGTTTCTCTTTCTCGTAAAACCTGCTCATTCACGAATGTGTGGGAATACTCAACCCTGAGAAATAAATAGGATATTACACCCAGTTCTTCAGGAACGATAACTACAAAGCCTACAGCTCGTGACAAGTCAGTAGCGGTTCAGTGAATGGCCTATGGCAAGGGGGTTGGTGAGGTTGGTCTGCTGAATATATTAAGAACTTTTAGGCAATGGAAGTATGTCACTTCTCCTTTTTGTGCGTGTGCTGCTTTTCTGATTTAAAATGTTGTCTGTGACAAAGTATCTTTGTGAAGGTTATTTTGAAATCTACTTGATTTTAATAAGCTGTCTTACAGTCTCCTCTGCCTTGGTCAGGCTGGCAGGCCTTACAGTTGTCTCCCTTTCCATTTCTGGACTGACAGAATTGGTCACAGGTAACTAAGATCACTTGCTGACCTTTGATTTGGCAAAAAGAATCATCCATGAAAATCAAGAGCTAGGAACATTTTCTGAGCCAGTCATACATTTCTGGAAATGTTTTCTCTCTCTCTAAGTTCCTCTTTCTAACTTATTTTATATACTTAGCTGCTTTCCCAAAGGTGATTTTCTTTTTAGGGTTGCAACCAACATTTTCATGAAAAACTTCATCATAAATCCAAAATTGTAGGGGAAGGTAGATAAATTTTGAATTTTTGGCCCATCATCTGGAAATCATGCAGTCCTTCTGAGAGAGGAAAAATATCCCTCATTTTATAAATTGTGGAACAGAATGAAGTTTTGAAAAAGTGTTTAGTGTTTCCATGAGAAAGACTTTGTTTAGTTGTATTTCTTATATGATTCCGCCTCTCATTGTGAGCAAATGAATAGTAATACTAGCTTCTTAAAGTATCAAGTTGGGAATTCTTTTAAAGGATGCATACAAGAATGAGTTGATTGAGATAAATTGCAGTATATTAATGTCCACACCCTCTGTGCCTGTTGATAACCGTATGTTTTTCTGTAGGGGAAAAATACATATCCTATCATTTTAGCTTTGAGGTCACTTTAAAATGTGCTCCAGAACTATCTTAAATATATGAAGCTCACAGATACTATTTAAAGTTAGAAAATAGAGGAGACAAGTATGATTATGTGATAATGATCTAAGGTCAAAAAATGTATTCATCATTACTAAACTGAAATTGAGGGGACTACTCACTGACAAGAATTATCCAATTGGACATTGCTGATATTGCCAGAAACACCAGTGTGCTCCCAAGGCAGTGCTCTCTACTTGATATGGGAATAAGATGAAAGTTTGCTAACTATTTTAGATTAATGGAATCCCTTAGCACACTTTGCTATTTAAACAATATTTAGTTACATAGTAGATATGGAGTCATTTGGGTTATTTCTCTCTCTCTCTCTCCCTCTCTTTCTCTATACATACACACATGTCTGATACCTGCTAAAAATAAGGCTATCAAAGCATCTTCTCATGTACTTTGGACATATTATCAAGGGAGACCAGTCCCTGAAAAAGGACCTCATAATTGGTAGAGCGTCAGCAAAAATGAGGAAGACCCTCACCGAGATGGCCCACAACAATGGGCACAAGCAGGAGCAGAGTGGTGAGGGTGGCACAGGACTGGGCGGTGTTTCGTTCGATTGTACAGAGGGTCGAATAGAAGCCAGCTTAATGGCATTTAATGGCAACTTCCCATCACGATAGTAGGCTTTGATTAGACCTTTACCTACAAGTACAAAAACTATGCATTTTCTTATTTTATTTAAAAGAATATCATTTTAAATTAATTGGTAAAGGCAAATGGCCTCATGCATTTTATTTGTCACGTTAGAAGATATACGAAAGTGATTCAACCAAGAGCTGCTATCATAAGACATCCTCAAAGTTATACATTCTCAGATGGGAGGATGGGGGCAGGAGGGGGATAAAAAGAGCTAATACGAAGGGCTCAAATATGAAGAAAATGTTTAGAAAATGATGAAGGCAACATATGTACAAATGTGCTTGATACAATTGATGTACGGATTGTTTTAAGAGCTGTAAGCGTCCCCAATAACATGATTTTTTTAAATGTAGTGAAACAAACAAAAAAGTTGTAAATTCTTGATACTCCATGAAATTAAAATGAAACAAAATTGAACATATTTTTGAACCTTTTAAAATATAATTCTCAGAGAAATAAAGAATGGTTGTTGGGGCTTGGTTTCTAAGGGATATAGTGACGATTGATACGTGATACAATATCTGAATTTCATTGTAAAAGAATTAAATATTTTATATTAAGATGGCATAGAACTAAAGAAATATTGTTTTAATAGTTTGCTAGCTGTTATTTTTTATGCCATAATACTTTAAATAACCTTTAAATAAATTATTGAATAAAAATAAGGGAAAACGGGTAAGTCAACATAACACTTAATTTCTTGGTTTCCAAAATCACCTGTGACCCATTATAAATAGTTGGTCTTGGTTTATAGAATATCCATTAGAGAATTTCCAGAAAAGACATCGTCTGTTTTTCTTCGTTGTATAACTCATGATGCTGTAGAGTGTATCTTCCTTTTAAGTGGAAAGAGTAATGGAACATTCACTGGAACAGAACTGTAACATTTAAGTTTTCGGATGCTGTAGGTTTTTATTTGACTTTAAGTCCTGGATTGTTTGGGAATAGATGAATCTTCTGTGGTCCATCGGGATGGTGGAGTCCAGTGCCATTGCTGGAATGCCTTAGATTAGGACACACCTGGATCTGAGAGTATGGATAAGGTTAAGGAAGACTTGAAAGTCAAGGTAGATGAAAACAAGGGAGACATTATTACTTGCCTATACTTAATGACTTGCCATGTTAGGGAATTGTGTTTGGCGGTACTGAGTTGTTTATTTCCTTCATCTATAGATGCTTTTGTGCCTTCAAGTCCGTTCGGACCCGCAGCGACCTATGCACCACAGAACAAAACACTGCCCAGTCCTGTGCCGCCCTCCCAGTCATTCCCGTGCTTAAGGCCATTGTTCAGCCACTGTGTCGATCCATCTCATTGTGGCCCTACCACTCTCTATAGTTTGCATCTTAGATATAACACTCTCTGGAAATGTACTATAAACCAGTGGTTGCTTTTTTTAGACCCTCAATACAAATGTGAGAGCGAGATTCCTCAGTTGCTACTTTCAGATAGTGTATGCTTATTTTATGATTATATGTTTGTTCTTCCTTCTGCATAGAATGGACGTACTTTAGTTTAATTAGAACATAGAGATTCCTCTCCATTGTATATCAGACTATCTGCCAAGTCCTATTCTGTGTTCTAATGGAATAACAAAAGACTAGATTCCAGTCTTGGTCTCATCGAGGCTCAGATTTCTGACCCGGCACCAGAGTGCCCTGGCTAGTAGATCACAGACATTCAACAGAGCCAAGTTGGGAAGTCTTTCCTCCCACAAAGAGAACATCTTTAGATTGTACATAGAAACAAGCGTGCACATTAGAGAAAGGTTCACAGAGAAATGTAACAATACGTGAACTCATATCTTAGAACGGGAGCTGATCATGACCATACCACAGTCATGCCATCATACCTTCAGTCGTATGCAATCTTCCAAGATCACAATTTCATTGCTTCTACATACTGTTGACATCACAGTTATTAGTATTGACATGTATGACATACAGTTATTAGTATTAACATTGATTTGCCAGTATCAATAAGCTCAGACTAAACCCCCAGCCATGAAGTGAATTCCTACTCACAGCCACCCTATATGGGACAGAGCAAAGCTATAGATGGCTTGATGAATTTCTACAGCTGACTTCTGAGCAGCTGAGCACGTAACCGTTGTGCCACCAGGGTTACTACCGTCCATCTCTACAGCCTTGGAGTCATTTCTGACCCAGAGCGACCTTGTATCTTGTCTCCATAATCCTTTACAAGAGCAGACAGCCTCATCTTTCTACCGCAGTGCAGCTGGTGGTTTGACATGCCCCCCTTGAGTTAGCGGCCCGGTGCCTAAACCACAGAGCCACAAGGTGCTATGGAATAAAAATACTAAGATAGTGAATGCATTGTTTTCCCAGTTGACATGTGAGTTTATATTTTGAGAAACGTCTGCAGATTGATATCTATGGGCTTCATTAGAGAATGGTATTCATTGAAAACCCATTGTTCTTAGGAGCTGTAAGAAACCTTAGTTCAAAGTGAGCACATGTCTGCTGAGTGTGAGATGCTAAAAAAACCCCAACAACTTCGAAACATTTTTATCCCTGAAGTCGCACTTGAGTTTGTCAATATAGTCTGAAGATTTCAGTCATAGTATGACAACATGCATTTTGAGAGTGAGAAAAAATAGTTGAAAGCAAATCTATTTGAGAAGTGAAATCTTTGTAGTTCAGACATCAGGATATAAACGTGTTTTGGGGGGGAGATGAGGGGGGGGGGGCAGGGATTCTCCTTTCACTTTAGCCCAGGAAAATGCTAGAAGCTTTAGATAACTTGAGCCAACCAAGTCAGTGCTTTATGGGGACTCCATCAAGCGGACCACATCAAAACCAAATTCAAGGCTGTCTAGTCGATGCAGATTCATCGCGACCCTGTGTACAACTAAAGGCAACACTTCCCGGTCCTGCGCCATCCTTACAATTCTTCTTATGCATGAGCTCATTTTTGCAGCCACAGTGTCAATCCCTCTCGTCGAGGGGCATCCTCTTTTCCACTGCCCCTCTCCGCGGCTTAGTTTGGTACGTTACAGAAGTGCCTGGTCACTGTTGCTACACAGACTAGGTCTGTAATAGACATAGCCATCATTATTAAGGAGGTGAAATCCCTGCCTCCCCGTCCAACAACCTGGATCCTTCCCACTGATAGCTGCAGCCACCTGCTGACCTCCACTGGCCCCAGAAACGTAGTTTGCTTTAACCAGGGCAGACTTGGCCGGTGAACTCTTAGAAATATTTGAATTAGTTGCCAGTACTTAGAACTTTGAAAGGTCGATCTAAAAATTTTCCATTTCCTGCGTCTCTTAAAAAAAAAAATCCAATAGTTTGGCAGTCTTTGATGCAGAATTGCAACAGTCCACTGGAACTGACTATTCGCTGCTACAACCAGGTCCTCTCCAGAGTGCCCCAGGCCACACTGTCCTCAGCGGTCCGTCTTCTAGTCTCCGTGCCACCTGGCCTGTGTGTTTCTTTACACCAGGCCTACTGTTCGCCTTAGTTCTCCTGCTTATGTCATCCCCCACCCATCCCTTGCCTTCAAATTGACCGTGACTCCCAGCAAGCCTATAAGACAGTGTAGAACTAACTGCGCCCTTGAAGGTCCCTAGGAGGTGACATTCACTCGATGGCAGTGAGTTTTTTGTTTGGTTGCTGTTTTCTTTTTGAGTAGGAATCATAGCTTAGGCAACAATTTGAACCACGTAAGATTACAATTACTTCTCCCAGAACTCCCTTGACCATCCATTGTCCAGGCTCTAGTGCCAGCAGCCATGCCCTTATCACACAGCGCCTAGGAAAGGGTAGGATATACTGTGACAGCCACAAACCCTGAGACTCGCTTACACCTCTAAAGCACTATAGCATGTCACTTCACCCATACCGAGTGCAAGTATCTGATTTAAAACTCATTTTCTGTTCTAATTTTATATAGGGAATAGTGTTATCTGTGAAGAACAATTCGCACAGCTTTGTCCCAGGTCCTGAGAGACCTGGTCCTGTGCTCTTGCTGTGAGACTTTAAATATGTTCATTTCCCATGGACACGCACGAACTTATCGAAGGCCACCACCATCAACACTTGTTATAAAGCCAACCTCAACCCATGGGAACATCGTGGATGCCAATATGAGGTGGAGAGTAGCTGGGATTTTTTTAGAAGGAAATGTCTGGGTCTTCCTTTCCAGGCATCTCCGGGAGGACTCAGCCCTCTGACCCGTGAGCATGTTCACCATTCCCACCAGGCAGGATGCCTTTCGTACACATAATACACCCTGTATGGAAATGTAATTGCCCAATTGTCCAACTCTGACTATTGTGTTCTTTCCCCAATATCATGAATATACAATGTGTTTGAAGTAGCATTAGCTAAAACCGTAAATATTCAATAAGTATTTAATAAAGCCAATGGATGATGATATGTTAAAGATTGAAATTGAATTACTAAATGATCTGTAGCATAGCACATTCTCTGTGCCATTTCTTTGAGGAAATTTCCCTCTGTAGGCATAGTGAGAAGGTGTTTTCTCACTATTAATATGGAGATGGATCCATAAATTTTTGCATCTCAATGATCGACAAATATTTACATCTGAAATTTCTAACTGATTTTTTCTTTATTCTACAGCACGCTCAACAATAACAACATTACTAGGCTTTCTGTGGCAAGCTTCAACCACATGCCTAAACTTAGGACTTTGTAAGTAGTCGCGCTCTACATAAAGGTCAATTTAAGAACACCCAGGAATTATCGTTGTTATAAAGCAATTAACAGAACCCTTTGTTTAGGATGAGCTGGTAAGGAAAACGTCCCCTGGTTAAGATTCTAGATGCATAATTTGAGTAACTTATGACTATTCTGAACTTTAAAGCTTTCTTTTAAATGGTATGCATTATGAGAAATTTGGGTTGTGGAAACATTTGCTTTGAGGTATTGTGGAGGTCACATTTCATTAAGAAATGGAAGATTTCTTGATTGGCTGTCATGAATGATAAATGAGAGATCTTTATGATTTTATTACTGTTCTACAAGGAGACCTAATAAAGCGAAACTGGTTCTTCAACATTCTTTGTAATATGAAATCAGAGTACCCCTTTCAGTGCTTCTCAAACTAAGAATGTGTCGATATTTACTTTTAAAAATACCTTTTCAGGGTTACTTATAAGCATGAATTAGGGTTTTCACTAAATAAAATGGTTCTCTAATCAAGTACTACTTTTGGTTGAGTGTTCTTTTCCCTTAGAGAAAAAAACGAATCCTTAAATTCAAGTGGCATATTTAGTGAGGAACTTTTCAAAGGTAGCTCTCATTTGAACTGGTCTCAGAATTAATTATGTTGACCTAAAAAAGAAATCCTTCATATGAGAAATGGTTTGAAATACAGCCAAATTTTCATCCTTTTTAGGGAAAAATATTTTTTTTAAGTAGGGTGAATATGTTTTTATTGGGCTTCTAAAATATGTATGATTTTTCAATGGTACTTAACTGAAATGTACTATTACACATATTTTTTTCTTTCTTGACCATAGTCAATTGAATCATCAATGTAATGAATTAGATAAAACCAATCAACCGTGATTTTTTCCTCACTAAATTGTAACTTTTAGGTAACACATTATTATAATTTCCATGGAATACAGTTGAGAAAAGTGGAATGATTCCAAAAGTATACAAAGATTACAAAGTTTTACTTCCTTGGGGCTGTCAACCTAAGACTAATCTGACTAAATTAACAGGCCGATTAAGTCCTCCTCTATTTAGCCAGACTGATCTCTTGGTAATTGTCTCTAGCATTCTTTCTGAAGCAAATTGACCAAACTTCCAATCCTTACAAATTGCAGGCAACTGAGGTTACCAAAGTATTTGCATTTCCCATGCCTTTTGTTTCCTTACAGAAGTGCACCACGATTTGTTTACAAGTCAGGTTTTAAAATATGTGGTTTTTTTTCTTATTTCAAATGTGTACACGTGTGTCTGAGTTTGAGCCTGAAATATGTAGACATGGGCAATATGACTTGTCCACTGTGCTGAGTTGGCTTCCAGAGGGTGATCCTCTGAACTAAAAGCATTTGTAGCTGAATGAGTTTATGATTGTAAACTTATGTATGTGCTTCCAATAACTGAGGGCATGCTGAATCATTGAGTGTTAGTAATATTTGATAATGTTCGTTGGAATTTTAGAAATGTGATGTGGTATTCTGTACCATTAGACTCTGGAGATAGGAAAGGTGGAATAGAGCAGGAGAGAAATTGTCTGCCTTATGTTTGGTTGTTTAATTGAATGAAATTTTAAATACATGAGTTAACACAGAAAGGCACCTTACACTGACTGTATATCATTGGTCATAGGCTGAGGGGCAAAACACATAAATGGTGCTTATTTGTACCTAGGATCGTGAAGAACATCAAGAGGCTTGCTTATCCTGTATTTGGCCTGAAAAGAACCTTTTAGCTTGAATATGACCTAATGCTGAAAACCACCCAATTTCCAAGAACACAAAGGAAACAGACAATATACCCAGACGGCTAATATTGCTGTACAGAAGCCCAAAGGGACAGCCGTCTCCCAGAATCTCACTTTTGGGATGCACAACTCTGCTTTTCACCAAAGCAATATGGTGCCTTCCTTCCGTTTCACAGTTATGCAGGCCCCTGCCCCACTGCCAACACTTATGATAAGTGGCACAATGCATACCAACCACCGCAGAGGCAGTAAATGTGACTGGTATGAAAATGGCTAATAGGAAAGCTGAGTCTGAGGTTACCCTGCTATTCCAAAATGTAGCTTTCTCATTCTGGAATATTCCTTCTGTTTCCGGTGCCAGACTACCCTGTATCTCCAACGGGACCCATACAAAGGCAAAGTGGTCCTCTAGTTTTAACTCCGCTGGCTTCGGATGGTTCATTATTCCACAATATGATTGCTACTTAGAAATTCCATCTTTATGGCCCAATTATCTTTCTGGACTGAGGTCCATGTTTTAATAGCCATTACTTTTATTGGGTTAGAATTGAGCACATCAGCTAAAAAGGGCTAAAATGATATTACTTTGTCAAGGATGATTCCGGGAATGATGCTTTTGATTTATAGCTTTGAGTGTCCTTTGCTCTGGTTTGGGAAAACATAAAAGCCAGTCTGAAGTAATTTACCTAATTTAGTGGATACATTTGTCTGATATTTTATTAATGGAGAAGAGCTATTTGCCACTTGGAAGCAATCCATGATCTTGTGTGGATCTTGGCCAACAGGGAAGGGAACTCACTTAATTCCTTCACTGCCTACCATTTATGCCTTTTAATTTCAGCTTCAACTCTTTGAGCATGGGTCCCAGGAGCCAACAGAGCCAATTCTCATGTTTTCCATGATTAAACAAAAAAATAAAATAAAAAAGGAAATCAGAACCCGGACTGTGAAGGAAGGGTTTTATATTGAAGCATTGTTCTGTCTTGTTAAGAAAAAAAGCAAACCGTTTCTATAGTGACAGAAAACAGCAGAACGTACTGATATGTTGAAGTTTGAACCACATCTTTTATTAACTGGCCCTCTCCTCTCACGGGCCTCCTCCCGCCCTGCCCCCATTCGCCTTCAGCTTCTTTCCACTCTAGACCCATTTGTCAGGGCTTATGTTTTAGTGTCACCAGTTTGAATGCACAAAAGAAACAAAGAATTCCACGGGCACATCTTAGCACCTGTCTATGTGCTTCGCTCCAAGTGGATGAAAAGCCGCTTGACCGTGTGGTTGCGATCCTGTTGAATTTTGTAGCAGATGGAAACATTCTAAACTCTGTTTTACTGCTGCTGAAGAAAGCTAGCCATTGTTGTTTATGATTTTTTTTCGAGTTTTTGAAGTAACCGTTTTCCGTTTCATTGCTTTCAATGTCTTCCCTCTTGTCTAGTCGCCTCCATTCCAACAACTTGTACTGTGACTGCCACCTGGCCTGGCTCTCCGACTGGCTGCGCCAGAGACCCCGAGTGGGTCTCTACACCCAGTGTATGGGCCCCTCCCACCTGCGGGGCCATAACGTAGCGGAGGTTCAGAAACGAGAATTTGTCTGCAGTGGTAAGAGAGAAAGAGCCGTTACGCTATTGCCTTATTGTGCCATGTGTCCAAGAGTCGGGAATAACGCGTGCCAGCCTTGTGCCCATGTGCTGCTCACTAACACACGCGATCTTGCTTTAATTCCCCCAGGGTGGTCCTCTTTTTAATGACTGTCAGTTGTTAGACATTTCTGCATGGTTGGCAATGGCCAATGACGTCTTCGATGACAGCTTTATCTGTTTTTTACATTCGAGGACACGCGGGAAATTATGACACTAAGGTTCTGTTGGCTGCATATCATTTTCCCTGGAAGTAATCCGTTAGCCTTCCTTGTCGGTTAACCACTGAAAGTGGATTTATCTGTGCTTGCTTGGATCCCCGCTGTAAAAATCAGAAAGTAATTCAATCGGAGTTGCAGAGTTGCCAAAAGACTTGTTTTAAAAAGAATGCAGAGAATACATATGCGTGTGCCCGTTCTACGGGAAGCAAGTGACTGGCTTTGTAACAAAAATCAGAAAACAAGCCATAAGACACAGACTATGTGAAATAGCCAGAGCTAGGATTTGTTGCGTGCTTTCGTTGTCTTGGGAAAAAAGATGGGACTTTCCACTCCCGGAGAGGTACTTTCTCTGAAACCCAACGGGTCATTTCTGCCTGGCCCTTCAGGGTAGCCATGAGTCAGACTGGACTCTGTGGGAGTGAGTTTGGTTTTTTGGGTTATTTTTTTTTTCTTTCTACGTGGCAGGTACTGATTGTAGTATTCCACATCTATCTGCTTCATTTATTGATCCCATCTCAACCGTATGAGTGATTAAAATGATGGGAAAGGCAGATATGTAACCTTGTTCAAGATTATATAGCAGAGAGGTAGTGAAGCATGTATCTCTACCTAGCCATTCAAATATATATTTGAGTTCTTTATTATCATATTTTAGCATTGCACTTTTCAATATAATTATATCATAAAAAGCAAACTCACTGCCTTCGAGTCGATTCTAACTCATACTGACCCTGTAGAACTGAGTACTGCCCCTGTGGAGTTTTGCAACTCTAATGGTTTACCGGAGTGGAAAGCCTTGTCTTTCTCCTTCAAAGTGGCTGGTGGTTTTGAACTGCTAACTCTGGGGTTGTCAGCCCAATGTCTAATAAGCACGACATCACCAGGGCTCCTGATTATAGAATAGATTTGCATTGATTGTGCTAGTCTCATTTTAATGTGCCTGTTCAAAGCACAATCAAACAAACCTTAAAAATGCAGGTTTCATGTTATCTTTGTTCGGCCATTTTTGTTTTTAAAGAAGGCGTTTTTAAGTAAGACCGTATTAGTACAGGATTCTGTTTCGTGCGGTGCTTTTTTCCTTTTTATTAAGCATTTTTATGTATTTTCCCCATTTTTTTTATAACCCAGAAAAAATTTTTTTCTTATACTGTCATGGAATGTTCTCAGTGGATCTGATTGCCTAAAATGAAATTAAAATATTAAATTAATTAAATAAAGTAAATTGGATTAAATAATGAGATGACTAACAATTCTCTAGTAACCACTATTTTCTCTCTTCACTTTTTGCTTCCTGCTTTCTAGACGAGGAAGAAGGCAAGTTCACATTTCCTTTCTAGACCGAGCTGCTTTTTGGTTGTTTTCTGTCTTGGTGACGTGTGAGAGTCTGTGTAGAGTTAATAACTGATGCTGTGGGATTACAGAGAATCAATTCTGACCTACAGCGACCCTGTATGGCAGAGTAGAGTGGTCCTGAGGGCTTTTTGGCTACAGTCTCTCCCCCAAACAAACCTCCAGCTATTTCTCCCACAGAGCTGTTACAGGTGGAGTTGGAACCACGAACCTACATCGTCAACAGTGTCATTGCAGGGAGGCCCCATCCCTCTAGCCCTTTCTCTCTAGTTAATGAGGGTTTTCCTGCCTCCTGTCTAATAACCAAAACCTGGTGGCATGTGCTTTTGTGGTGAGCTGCAATCTGCGAGGTCCGCAGTTTGAAACCACAAGGCCTTCCGAGGGAGATAGACAGAGCTTCTACTCCCGTGGACAGTTTACAATCTCAGAAACACAGGGGCAGCTCTACCCTGTCCTAGAGGGTCGCTATGAGTCAGCATTGACTCGATGGCAGTGAGGTTGGTTTTTTGGGAGCCTAATAACCGTGTTTCTACAGATGACTCTTTGGGACAGCGCTGCTAATTCTCTATGGTGCTGTGTCCAAACAGGAAACATTTCAAAATACCCTACCCCCTTAATACTGAATAGTTCATACGTACCTGCAGATAATCACTCACACTAAAATTTTAAATTATGCTGAACCCAAACACAATCTTATGGATTAACAATTACAGCATGGCATGACATAAATTAAAATAATAACTTTAATGAAAGCAGTAATTTTGAACCTGTTCAGCCATCAAACTTAGTATTATCTGTTTCTCCCCGATATTTACGGGTGCGTGATTACTTGATTACAGGAATAGTTGTGTGCACCACTATGGAATGTTACCATGTTCGCTTCTGTGTCGAAGACAAAGTAAATGGAGCCCTCCAAGTGCAATGGATTCTCAGCTCTGTTTAAGCTTCTTAGAAGTGCCATACAAATGAGTCTGGCATGACTGCTGTGTGTGTGCTTGTCTCAGAATAGTTGTGAATAGCATTTTCATTTAGATGTGAATTTGAATTTGACCTCTTTTTTTTAATAAATTATCCATCTTTCTAACCCATTGGTAAAAATCTCATTTGCTTCATCTAAATGTTGCCCCTCCAGTCAATAAATGCATGTTTCCTACAGTAAGTTTTAGACATCTAGGCCCATCTTGATGACCGGGGCTTTCATTTCTTCAGTGTGCTGTGGCACTTGAGCCACGTGTGTGTGTCTCACATGAGGAAATCACAGAGGGCACCTAACACTGACGCTTCTTTGTGTGTGTTTTCTTGGCAGGGCACCAGTCATTCATGGCTCCGTCCTGCAGTGTGCTGCACTGCCCAGCGGCCTGCGCCTGTAGCAACAATATCGTAGACTGTCGGGGGAAAGGTCTCACTGAGATCCCCACAAACCTGCCTGAGACCATCACAGAAATGTATGTACTATGTACCCCCTAACCCTCTCCCCACTTCTCCATCTACTGCCCTGGGGAGCCGTGGAATTCTTTAAGAGTGCCTAGGTGGATCAAAGGCAGATCTGATCAACTGGCATAAACAAATGTTCCTTTTGAGAAGTCTGTTGATTCTTATTCTAGGTAATTAAGGACCTTGTTAAAAATGGCTCTTTTTTTAAAGCATAATTGGAATCAGAAAAATTGTATTTTAAGGAAAAATAAGATTTGCCCTTCCATTGGAAAGTACTTATTTAAGATATTTTAGAGAAATATGAATAGTTATGCCAAGAATGAATGTTGTTGTGAAGCCGATCTGTTGTCGTCCACGTCTAGCTTGGAGCGGGGGAGGAGAAAGAAGGGCTGAGCCTGGGGTCATCCATCTTGGGAAGCTGAGAAGTGGCTCACGTTCCACCTCTCCAGTGCTCAACTTTTAAAATGCAGTTTCACACCCTCATTAGAATTGTTGTACAGGCAGTCTCTTGGTTACAACTGAGATGACTTCTTTTTTTTTTTCCATTTTAAAAATCACTTTATTGGGGGCTCGTACAACTCTTATCACAATCCATACATCAATTGAATCAGGCATGTTTGTATATATGTTGCCTTCATTATTTTCTAGAAATTTACTTTCTTTTTTTAAAAATCATTTTATTAGGGGCTCATACAACTCTTAACACAATCCATACATAAATCACATTTGTACATTCACTGCCCTCATCATTCTCAAAACATTTGCTTTCCACTTAAATCCCTGGCATCAGCTTCTCATTTTTTCCCCTCCCTCTCCCCTCCCTCATGAACCCTTGATAATTTACAAATTATTATTTTGTCATACCTTGCATTGTCTGAATTCTCCCTTCACCCACTTTTCTGTTGTCCGACCCCCAGGGAGGAGGTTATATGTAGATCCTTGTAATTGGTTCCCCCTTTCCAATCCACCCTCCCTTCACCCTCCCAGTATTGTCACTCGCCACTCTCACCATTGGTCCTGAAGGGATCATCCACCCTGGATTCTCTGTTTTTCCAGTTCCTATCTGTACCAGTGTGTGAGATGCCTTCTTATGTGTGTCTTTAAGTTAAATGTGTAGGTGTGACGGAATAGGTACAGACATGTCTGATGCAGCTTTACTTTAGAGGCTGTTTGGTCACACACACACACACACACACACACACACACACACCGCTTTACTTTAGAGCACACACACACACACACACACACACAATTGTAAATTTGGGTTAATTCACGAAAAGGCTCAGTGCCTTAGAATGATTTCAAAGCAAGAGGAAAAGCAAATCAAGGTGTTTGTGTTGAAGGATTTAATGTGAGTAAGGATTGGTTCAAGGTTTGGCACATTTGCAGAGAATTAAAAAACAAGTAGGTTGTTGTTTGTTGTTGTTGTTAGTTGACATCAAATCAGTTCTGACTCATAGTGATCCTACGTACAATGGAAGGAAACACTGCCTGGTCCTTTGCCATCCTCACAATTGTTCTTATTTCCATCGCAGTCAATCCATCTTGTTGACGGCCTTCCTCTTTTCTACTTACCAAGCATGATGTCCTTCTTCAGGGACTGATCCATCCTGACAACATGTTTAAAGTCTGTGTGCCCCAGTCTCACCACCCTTGCCTCTAAGGAGCATCCTGGCCCTGCTTCCAAAGCAGACTTGCTTATTCTTTTGACAGCCCATGGTACTTTCGATAGTCTTCACCAGCACCACAACTCAAAAGCATCAGTTGTTCTTCTTCCGTCTCCCTTATGCAATGTCCAACTTTCAGAAGACCAGTGGGATTTGCTTTAACGTGTGGGACTTACTTTATAAAGAATAAAATCAAGACAAAAACCCCTTGTGATTGAATCAATCCCAACTCCTAGTGACCCTTCAGGACACAACAGAATGGCCTTGGTCGGGTTATGAGGCTGTGAATCTTTCTAGAAACAGGGAACATCATCTTTCTTCCAGGGAGCAGTTGGTGCATCCGAATCACCGAAATGATTAGCATCCCAGTGCTTAGCGCATTATGCCACCAGATCTCCAGTTAGAAACTGTAAGAAGAATGAGCTCACACTCCAGATATGCAGGAGGTTCAAAATTAGTGAGCACTTTAGATTATTTGCATCAGTGTTTCCCTCAATGAAAAATGATTTTTACACACAATTGCAGATGCATTTGGTATACAGTTTCTCTGTGCATTTTTTTGTCCTTACCAAAGAGAAGTCCTGTGGATAAAACAAGGTCATGTAAGACGTAAATGGAATGCTTTTATCCTCTAGAGAAGTATACTTTAGGAAAAAGTATGTACCTCAATACCTATTCCTAAGAAAACCTCTCTTAACCATTCGCACATCATATTATAGCTTTGGAAGTCAGTTCGGCATTGTAACTAAATAGATAGGTTTAGTTATTTTCATCTGAAAATGAAAAATATGTCCAAGTTTTTGTGACTGGCCTACATAAAATGTATTGCCTTTAAACTGATGATCATTTATAGTAGTCTATAGGCCAAAATGGAACTACTCTAAATGTTTTCCAAAGCATCTTCCAGGAACCCACCTCATCTTTCTCCTGTGGAGTGAAGCGTAGGTTTGAACCAGTGACTATTATGTTAACATCATACCCCTGTTCCACCAGGGCTCCTTTTTATCGGCCTACCTCTGGGAAACACACACACACACACACACACACACACACACACACACGCTGCCATCGAGTTGATGCCAGCTCACACGGACTCTGTAAGACAGAATAGAAGTACCCCAGCAGGTTTCTGAGACTGTTACTCTTTATGAGAGTAGACGGCCTCATCTTCCTCCTGCAGAGCAGCCGGTGGGTTCAAACCGCTGTCCCTGCGGGTAGCAGCTCAGTGTGTAGCCCACTGGGCCACCAGCAGACAAAAACAAAACAAACGAGGTACGGTTTTACATTATTTAAAAAAACTAGACACTTTTTGCCAGTCTTTGTAACACCGTAATTGCTATAAATCACTTTATATGATTGTAGCCTTGGCTCGCGTTGTTTTAAAATGCATGCTTCCGATGTAGTAGTATGCTTGGAGCTTGGCAGTATAAACAAACAACCCTCGGTAGAGACAGCGAAATCTGTAGCTCTCTGACAAGGACATGGACTAGTATATGTGCCAAAACATGTGTTTGCCACTTTTAATTCAACGCGCACTACTTTGCCCAGAGTATTTGTAAACTTTTATTCACTCAGGACAACCTAGAAATGAGAAGCGACATGGTTTGGTAAGAGTCCGCTGGCATTCCCCAAAAGGAAAGCATCAGGAACAAAGGCACAGGTTAGAAAAAATAGAGGCATAGGTTCAAACGGAGGCTTCCTGCAGACTGATGCCTGAAGCAAAGAACTCCATCCAATGATGCAGCCTCGGATGCTGGGCGTTTAGTTAGAAGATGGAAGGTGTTATAATGAAGTGGTTAATAGAAAGTTGTCAAAGAGGATTATAGCATATTAATCCTCCCTGGCACAAACACTTGAGTGAGCATTCTCTTAATAATCAAGTCAAGTGCCATTGAGTTGACCCTGATTCATAGGGATCCTGTGTGCGTGTGTGCGTGTATGCGTGTGTGTCAGAGGAAACTGTGCTCCATAGGGTTTTCAAGACCTGAGTTTGTCCCCCAGTGGTTTGTCAGCAAGCTTTTGATCCTTGTTGCTCTTGGATGGACTGAAAGGTTCACATTTTCAGCTAGCAGCTTAGCATTGTTAACCATGTGCACCTCCCAGGGATTCCCGTCCTCTATAAAGGCACCATGAATTCTCAAGAGGGACCAGCACATTCGCCATGCAAGGAAATAACTATAAAATCCTGTGAGTGGTGATAAACATCAAGCAAGTGGAACAAATAAACTTGGAGACCCTTACATCAATCCAGAGAGGAGGAAACCCCTCAAGGAGATGGATTGGCAGAGTGGCTGCAACAGTGGGCTCAACCATAGGAAAATAATTGTGAGGATGGCTCTGGAGCAGTTGGTGCTTCCTTCTGTTGTGCTGTGGGTCGCTGTGGGTTGGAACCGCCTGGAAGGCACCTTCCAAAAAACAACAGGGCAGCTAGCACAAAGCAGTAATAGTCAGGCACTCAATAATAGAATGGAAATGTGGGAAGAGATGTGTAAAGAGTACCGAAGTAGAAACAACAGAGTTGACATTTGATGTTCTAAAGGAGAAAGAAAGAGGGATGAGCCTGAGATGATGGCAGCATTTCAAATATGAGAGCCTGGAGGAAGCTGCCGATACCACTTCATCCTTGAAACCTAGACGTCTACCACAGAGAAAGAAGAGGTCAAGGCCAGTGAGCCACATAGAACCTCCAACCCCACTGCCATCGGGTCCATTCTGACTCATTGTGACCCCACAGGACAAGATAGAACTGCCCCTATGGGTTTCCAAGGCTTTAAGTCTTTATGAGAGAAGACAGCCTCTTCTTTCTCTCACAGAGCTACTGATGGGTTTGATGAAATTACCTAAAGGTCAGTCGCTCAATGCATAGCCCATCACAGGGACTAGCATTATACAGGCTAGAATGAATTTGGAGCAAGTTAATGACAGGAGGCAATGGTTTTGAAGTAGTTCACACAATCAACATAATAAACATAGAGTTGATCATTGACGCTCTCAAGTGGCCAAGGAAAGCAGTGAGAGAAGGTCCTGCAGCACCACAGCAGAGAAGCATGGGAGGAATGGCACCCTGGGGGGGTGAAGCTCACATCCCAGAAAGGGCCTTCCAATTTGACCAACATAGTGCTCTTGATGGATTTGATTTTCCTAGTGATCGATGAGGAAGTCATTTTTCAAAGGGTCAAGGAAAGACATTTGGTTTTTTTTTGTTGTTTTTTTTTTTAACATTTTATTAGGGGCTCATACAACTGTTATCCCAATCCATACACACATCAATTGTGTAAAGCGCATTTGTACATCGTTTCTCAAAACATTTTCTCTCCATTTAAACCCCCGACATTAGGTCCTCA